ATACATGGTGGCAGGCAAGAAGAGAAGGTGCCCACAGAGCAGAGCTGGCACGGTTACAGGGCCCTAGGGGTATCATGACCATCTCTAGGGACCCCACTCCATGACAAAGTGCAGTTTCTCAGAAACCCCTGCACCTATCTCCGTGAACCCTGTCAGACTTTATGGCCTCAGCAGTGGCTACCATCCCTGCGGTTTTCATCCCACTCTGCCTTAACACACACATGACATGGGTTTTGCTTGTCAGCATCTTGAGGTGCAGTTTCCCAGAAACTCCTGCACCTATCTCCTTGAAACTTGGCAGGTTTTATTCCCTCAGAAGGGGCTACCATTTCTGCAATTTTCATCAGAAGCAGACAAGAAACAACGAAGTTATAGGCATTTTAATTATTCCCCATTTTAGCCTATGGCCGAAAAACCAAAACAGTGTCAAAACTCAAAACAGTTTTGGCCAAAATGAAACAAAACAGCAATTTGAAATGCCAAAACAATTCAAAATGCCCTATCCCATCAAAATGCTGAATCCAAATCTGAAACTGAAATGAAAACAGGCATTTCGCACAGCCATAGTGAGCTCTCCCTCACGTTGTAGTAAATGCAAGGTAACTTTCACTGACACGCAAGCTTAAATCACAGTCATTTATTTGTATAGTTGTACCTAAACATACTTGCTCTCTGTGCTGTGGATACCTTGTGCTGGTGTTAGTGCCCACATTTTGAAGTGCTGGATCATTAAAATTAAACTGAATTGTTCTGCCAGCAAGGCTAATCCTTTATCTGAGAGCATGTAGAGTCAAATAATACATTGTTTGATTTAGATTTCACTGGGTTTGTGTGTTCAGGATTCAAAATATGTATTTATTTATAAAGGACAGTTAATCAAAGTCTGAGGCTGCATCTATATGAGACTCTGACTGTGCAGTTGTTACTGCACGGTCCTTTAGTACTTGTGTATGCACACTAGTATACACAAGTACTAAATGACTGCCATGGCAGTAGCATCCCCAAATGCCATCCCCAAATGGCTTTCAGGTGACATGGAATGCACAGTAGCTTGTTACTACTGTGCAGTAGCATTGCACCACGATTCATGCTATGCAACGCTACTGCGGAGTAGTAACAAGTTACTGTGCAGTCAGCATCTTAGCCTGAAAGTAGAACTGGCCAAATTTGTTAACGTAAAGTAAAATGACATTCACAGAATCAGGTATTGCAAGTTTTTAACAATTGAATGAAGTGAAGAATTTTCACCATTTAATATTTCTTAGTTATTTAGTTGCCATATTTATTACATACCAAATGCACCTTTTCCCAAAAAATCAGACCTCCAAAATTGGGCTGTGTGTCTTAAGTAGAGAGGTTTATTTTTTTTCTTTGCCAGAAAAGCAGCATGTAGGAACAGAAACGTGGAGACATTGTTCTGCAAAATGGCTGCTAGCTTCTCTCTGGCACAGCAAGTGAGGGGTGCAGTGTGTATGGGGGGAAATCCAGTGATAACCCTTTCACATTTGCTCTTGAATTGGCAGCAGATTTTGGCTAAGCAGCCAAATGAGTAGTCAAAAACTGCTGCCAATTAAAAATCAACTGTGAAAGGGTTATTACTGGACTCTATCCCTCTTGCTTGCTGTCCTAGAGAGAAGTTGCCAGCCAGTTGGGGACAGAGGGGAAAGAAGAGACTGAGACATCATGCTCGGTATGTCTGGAACTAGCAGTAATGGAGAGAAACTGTGACTAGGATCTGGAAAGAGGAGAGAAAATTGGGTCTCACCCAACAAGGAGTCTAGGAAGCTAGCACAGGGGAGGCAAAATCAGTATTGTAAAATGACAGGAGAGGCTGATCAGACAAGGAGTTGGAAATGGAGAGAGAACTGAGACTGGCTAACTAAAAAAACTGGGACAAACAAGAGGGGATGGGACTGGGACAAGGAGCCAGGAAGAGAGTGAGGACACTGCTGTTGGATGAAGAGCCAGGATGGGCAATGTGGGATTAGTTGGGCAAGGGAACTAGGACTGGGGGGAGGAACCAGAGGTGGAAAAGAGAGGAGGGCTAGTTGGAGGGAATGAGGAAGGGCACAAGTTTGAGGGGGGAAAATGGCCAGGGGGAAGTCTGTGATCATGTCATTTAAAGACTGTGTCATGATGCACAGGTATCAAGAGGTCACAAAGGCAACACTCATTCTGTCATTATCAAAATAGACTTTGCAACCATAATAATGGCATAGCTCAGGCTACATATGTATAAAAATAAAAACACATATATAAAAAATTTATCTACATGAAGATAAAACTATATGCAGGTAAAATCTTTCAAGTTGAAGCTCCTACAGCAAACTTAACTTTCCTGCTCTGAACTTATTTGTTGTTGTTGTGGTTGTTCCTTTTTCTACCATCATAGATCTATTTTTAATTTCTTTTTAATTTTTAAAGTATCCAGATAAATTCTGACTGGTGAAGGGTCTCTGGGGCATCCAAAACCTTTTAAATAATTAGGGGTTTATTTATTTGGAGAGTTGGGGCTAATGAAGCAAAATTTCTTTAGTGCTTCCAACCTTCTCAGGAATGGAGCTCCTCACTGGATCTATTCCCATAAAGGTTGGAAGCTCAAAGGAAAGTTAGATTCAGCCCTTTGATGGCCTCTAGTGTGAAAGACACCTGGTCGAAGGTATTGCAGATAGGGAAGCGACTGGAGTCCCCACATTTGTGAAGGCAGGCTTGGAGCTCCAGGTTTTTGCACATGTCCATTTGCAATCCTCTTCCCTCCTCATCAGTTTTTCTCTGATTGACTTGGAGTTGCAGTTGTGACATACTGATAACACTGAGAGACAGACAGTCTGCCCAGTTCAGCATTTCAGTTCATTTGAGCTGGATTGATCCAAGTGTTCATAATACTTTATCAGTAGGCAGGATGTCTACATTTAAATCTCACAGGGAGGTTAACTTCCTGATTCAAGTTGTCCTAGTAGCATTGTTTATGACGTGTCAACCTGATCATGTACAGGAATGTATGGTGGTGTCACAAAGTGAGCAAGGCATCATTAAGTGGGTTAAGCAAAAATAAAACAAGATGTTAGATGTTACTGAATATAAATGGCAATTATTATATTGTTTATTGTATTGTTTGTCAGCTTCCTCAGCCAATGAACATTAAATTGTGAGAACTGGCCATTTTCTCCTTCCTCCTTCCCCATGTTACCCTACATATATGATATTGAATTAATACACTATTTTTCTATGAATAGGGGAAATGTGTGTGTGGGGGGTCATTTGTTTTTCTTGTCAGTGGAGAAAGGGTATTTTGTTTCTAATTGTCTGGAAAGGAGAGAAAGTAACTGGGGTGCTGGACAGAGAATAAACATGGAGACCTACTGTCCCCAGAAGTGATTGTTATCCTGTTTCCCAACCTCACCTCCAGTGGTCGCTAATAGGTGGTCACTAGTAAGCATCTGAAGCTGGGTAAACCCTTAACTCCTCCTTAAGTAAACAATTGAAAGTAGGCCAGCAGTTTGCAGTAAAGCTCTGTTTGAGCACTGAGTTGTACCTCTGCTAGAGAACTAATATCTTCTTAGTCCTTTCTGTGACTGACTTTCCAAAGGTAGAAGCACGGTGAGTATCACTGAGAAGACAAGCTCCTATTATCCCTGTGGAACTCATATTTTCTTACACACACACACACACACACACACACACACACACACACACACACACACACACACACGCGTGTGAGCGAGCATGCACGTGCACACACACACGCACACAATAACCACTATGAACTGCCTAGAAAAAGTGAGCTTTGTGAGAATAGCAAGCCCATGACAAATTACACTAATGAATTCTAACCTTTTTTCCTTTTCAAAGAAGAGTGGAGTGTTTTGTCTTATTGTCCTCCTATTCCTGGTTCTTCTACACACTTATAAACATAGACAGAGCTTGCCAGGCTATTTCAAAGGTTCTTGGGCTGACAAGCCTGCCACAGGAGTCTATATAGTAATAAACATTACCTTTTTCCTTTTATTCCCTCACTCATTATAGGAAATTCTCTTTTTCTCTCTCTGTCTCTTTTTCCTCCTATATCAATCAATCTGAACTGGTGCAATGCTATTAAGTGCTGGCTAAAGGTCCTCCTGTTCACAAACTAAGCAGTCTCAACTTCCAATAAATGCAATGACGACCACAGGAACCTAGCCTTTTTTCTGTTTGTGTAAGTCTTTATACAACACTCCTTATCATAGTATCTGTATCTGTAATGTTTTAATCACTGTGACTAGCGTCTGTCACATGTCAGTCTTGGAACTCCTCTTCAAGAGAGAACCATGTGGAACGTAGTGTTTTATTTTGGTAGTGATTTTTGTTTGGAAGACTAAGGAACCTCTTATTAAATACATTTAAGACCTATAAGGCAGCACCCTCCAGACTGTTCAGCCTCTTAGCTGACTTGAAACGGAAGCCTGGATCATAACATTTTCTATGAGAGGCAAGGATTTCTTAGGATGGTACCTTTTCATTGAACCAACTGTGTAGTTGGGATAGAGTTAGACAAGCTTTAAGATGCAAGTTAGAAGAATGTATTGCATTTGAAAGCTTGTCTAAATCTATCCCAACTACACAGCTGGTCCAGTAAAAAGATACGTCTCTAAGAAATCCTTGCCTTTTGCATACTTTCTGGACCATCACGAGTATAACAGGAGTTACACTACCAATATTTTCTATGCAGTTTTTAACTGAAAGCTGATGTAAAAATGTTGGCGCCTAGAACAATGTAAATATATTAAATTTAAGACTATTTTCAAATGTTGTTTAAATAAAAAATTAAGTTCTTTCTCCTGGAATTCCTGAAGGGAATACTTTTCTCCTTCTGAGTCATGATTTAATTAGATTATATTTTATTAGACATTCTTTACAATTTTAAAATACTGCTATTTTACATGCACAGAAAGGGAAAAAAAACAGTTTGAACTGTATGTAAGCATTCATTTAAAAACAACCACAAAAGAGGAACAGTTTGTCATTAACAATGTACTCGATATGTATATCTAAAGTGCATTATGTTACAAAAAATATATAGAAGGTCAGCAGCACCAAGATATGTTCACAAAATAAATACACCGATCAACAAAATAAATTATGGTAAATGCAACAATAATAATTGTCTAACCTTAGCACAAAAAAAAAATTTCACAATAACCAAATGTGCAGTTTCAGAGAGCAATGGGAAGAAAGGGAAGGGCAGAAGAAGGCTTATGTGGAGCATTTACAGTATTTACAAACAATAAATATTTTAACACTTTTTATATGTTCACTATTACAGAATACTGCAATATGTTTTCCAAAGGTCTCAGCTGAAAATTTCAACACCTCCTGCAGAAAAAAAGAGAAAAAAGTGGAAAAAATTAATTTTCCTTGTAAATAAGTGTATATAAGATTAATAGTAACAGTGCAACAAGTAATATAGGCTGTGCCTCACTACTAAATATTCCCCCTAGGAAAAGCTGGTTAACAGTGCTGGGCTATTAGAATTCTTTTAAGACTCCTGTATGGTGGTTTCAACACAATAATACTAGCAGCGTGAGGAACTGCAGACTGCTTTCATGCAGCAGCCAAGTCTATACCATCTGCAGCTCTATGTACACACAGAGGGCAGAGGGAGACTGCCTCATTTAGGTCTTGATTCTGGAAGATGCTTCAGCATAAGTCTACCTTGAAGCTTGGGAATAGCTTTTCCCAAATTAGTGAGCCTAGTTAGGTATGTGCTTAAGCATCTTGTATGTTGGGGTCATAAAGCTCTATTTCCTAAACAGATACCAAACCACATAAAATAAAGTGGAATAATGAGAAAATAAAGTGGAATAATCGGCCTGATCAGGCAGCCAAATCTCTGAATCCGAATCAAATCAGGAGACCCTTTAATCACTCTGAATTGAATTGGAACCCTCTGAATCAATTCGGAGGGCTTTGATGATTTGGACACAGACACAGCTTTAAATGTTTTTTCTACATATCTCAAGGTATCAGGTAGCTTGTGAATGCTGAGATGCTGGAGGAGATGGAGCACCCCACAAGCATGCGGGGGCGTCCCCAGAGTGATCGGCGGTGGACCCAAAAGTGGACCAGAAGCACTTCCGGTCCACTTCCAAGTCCGCTGTGGAGTGCGTGGCTCAGCGACTGATGCCTCCTGGGTCTGGGGGGCACCTGGGATCCTCCTGCAGCCAGTCGCTGAGCCGGGGTAGTGTGGGAGGAAGGGTCCCCCGCATGCTTGCTGGCAGACTTGGAAGTGGACCAGAAGTACTTCCAGTCCACTTCTGAGTCCGCCATCGAGCACGCGACCTTTTCCCTCCCCCCCTCCCATCCCGGGCACTTGTATGGGATGCTCCATCTGTCCCACTATTGCAGTGTTCACGAGCTGTGCCTGGTACCTTGAGGTATGTAGAAAAAACATTTAAAGCTGCGTCTATAACCAAATTGCTGATTCTCCAAATCAGCATCGAATCTTCAGATTCAGATTCGGCTGAATTGAATTGGGACAGTGATCCGAATCAATGAATCAGATCACTGTCCCTAATTTGGACAGAATTTGAATTGAATATGGCTCGTTTTATACACCCCGACTTATTAGGTGCCACTGACAGGCTGGTTTAAGTTCAGTAATTTTCCCTTCCACCATGAATTTGTAAGGTTCAAAGCAGAATCCCAGCTATCCCTGCTGTATATGACTTACGATGCCCTATATTTTTAAATATTTTCTAATACTGGAAATGCTGCAGGGATTTTTCCCCTCTATCACTCTGAGCAGTACATTTCTGCAATTGTATGTTAGTTCTCTAGGAAACGGCTATAAGATGGGATTAGATTGGCCATATTGTCAGAGTGATTGCCAAAGCTGTGGGTAGAGTTTCACATGGCAGACGTGTGTGGGTGAGAAGCGCACAAAAAGACAAATTCTTGACAATTTAAGGGTTTTTAATGTGGGTAATGAAAGTGAGAATACATTTAATATGAGGGAGGTTACACTTTTGAAAGTTTTCTTAGGCAAATGGGTAGTAATTATTTAAACTAATTGGACTGAGAACATAACTAGGACTCCTATAAGAAAAGGTTTTTTTTTTTTTTTTTTTTTTTTGATTCTTTTTTTTTTAAGTGACTGGAATAGAAATGTCAGCATGCATACATTTTAGTATAATTATAGTGCATAGTATTTATTGTATAGCTCTTTCATATTTATAATTGCTACATACTGAAGATTATGTATATTATATATGTATAAGATTATACACATATATACATTATATGTATATAATCTTCAGTATGTACATTTAAGCATGTGGTGTTCTGATAGTTGCGGATTAGATTTTTAGGCTTTGTCTTACAGTTTGTGATAAGTTGAAGCTCAGCCATGGGTTCCATACTACCAAAATCTGCAGTTGTTCCTATCCTAGTTTGCTGGAATTATTGCAAAATCACCTGTCTGCCTCTCCCCGCCCCCCAAACACACACTTTCCCCAAATTGATCCAATGGAATTAGGAAGCAAGTCCATTGCAGTTAGGTTTCTGATGTAGATCTCAAATTGTGGGTTCAGAATTGGAGCAGGGGCATCAGACTGAGATCTTCAGGTCAAGCTAAATTAGACAAAGTATAAGTCAAGAGGTGATGTGAAAAGGGGCCTCTGAATTCACCTTTGTACTTCCCTGGTTTTTGTTGTACTACTCTCTGTATGGCCAATCTCCCTACTCTGTGTCATAGTTTACTCAGAGTTACAATAGGTTAAAAGGGATGAAAAAATGTAGTGTAATCAGTTTGATATTGGGATAGTCTGGCCATTCCCCTCTTTCCCCAGTCACACTTGCTATCAGAGCCTGCAGATTAGCTGGGTGCATTAGAGGACCATGTTCCCATGGGGAACATCTGAACCAGACACCATAAACTGAGCTGTCCTAAGCCTAACATCCAAATGCAAAGCTATGCCTATGCACCAGGTAATCTTGCCCTCCTTCCTAAAATGTATTGGGGGGGAGCGGAGATTTGAGCTGTCAATTCACACATAGCACTAGCATGTGTACCTAATAAATAACTTGGGTTATTAAGTTAAAAAAACGATGATATCATATGTCATTTGCTGATTAAATTAAATGTTTCAGGCTGACAGTTGTTTTAATTTAAGGTATAGAAAGGATACTTTGTGCCAGCTCACTTGGATAAGACCTGGCCAAAAGCATGCCTTCTATTTGATTGCTAGAAGCTGAACCTGTCTGTTACGCTCTATGCTCTGCACAGGCGGTATTACAACAGGTACAACAGGTAACTCTTGTTTTATGGACTTCTTTACAAAAACAAACAAACAATAAACCATGCGGGACTTTACAGTTAAGTCTTCCAAGCATGCAGTCCTTTCTAAACTCTAGTACCCTACAGGCCAATATTGCAATATGGGCAATAATGCTGAGAAGCTAAAGCCAAATCTATAATGTTCTGTAAAGTTAGGTTTTCTTTAGACATACAAGGGCCCATTAGAAATTTTAGAACCTTAACCAAGGCAGAGCTTTTGGTTCATTTTACAGTTCCCATAGGGTACAAAGGCAAATGATAACCTAACAAAGCAAATTACAAAAAATAAAAAAATCAAATGCCTTGGAAGTTTTTCCCCATCACTTATAGTTCTGCATATGTGTCCATTTGAAGACAGGAACCCCTTAGTGCCCACACTAGCTTCATAACATTTGTTCCAACTCCTAGATACATCAAGCACCTGTGAACAGAGATCCTGGGACTTCCTTTTCTTAAGTTACTGAATAAAAAGCAGTACCAGTTAAAGTGCTGCTTATTGAGAGCTTTATTAAGCACACATTGACTTTCTTAACTCTAGGGCACTAACTAAATCCCAATCTTAAATTCTTTATACAGGCTCTAAGTAAGGCTTGCTGCTGGACTTCAGCTTCCATGGACTCCAGTGGAAATTGAGGGCATGGGTGTATTGCAGGACTGGGCCTGTAACGTTTAAATAGAAGTGCTGCATTAGTAAATCCCATAGCTGGCATCCTTTTTTTCAAAAGATTTTCTGTAAAGTGAGGAGACTCTGTTTTGTGTTCAGCCAAAGTGAAAGGGAAGAAGCAGAAAGAGAGTGGTTTTGAGGGGGATTTCTACCTTATTTTAAAAACTACAATTCCTTTTGGAATTTAATGCTTTGTACACAAAATGGTTCAATCTCCAACTTGAACTGATAGTTGGAAGCAGGCTATCAGCTCAGGACATCTAAAAGAGAGAGTCTGAATTACCATGGCCCTTAAAACCTTCATTGTCATACATGCGGAAAACAAGTCTCCAAGCGTAATGCTCAACATTTTTCAGCAGCAACGTAATTGTTTCACAAGCTGGCAGAAAGATGGAGCAGAATTAAAAAAAAAAAAAAAAAAAA